AATACAATAAAATATTTTTGGGGGCAAGGCAGGGGGGCTTACGGCCTAACCACTGGTGACTAAGCAAATATCACCCACCACAAAAAAGCAGGTATCACATCCATATGATGCATTAGCTATCTTCCCAACATTATTGCTCCAAGTAATATTAACATCAGATGGCGTAAAGGTTCATTTCAGAAAGGAACATTTAAAAAAATAGAGTTGCACTGCTGCTTCAATTGCCTGCACAGTATCCCATGAGATCCACAATCAACTACACGAGTGAACACAGCATTCTTCCATGCCAGCATGACTCTGCTAATTCAACAGAAATCAATACTGTGAATATCCCAGTCATTGCTATAGGATTTGGTAGTTAACCAACCCCCGGGAGTGCGCACACCCTCCCCCTCCCCAAATTTAGAATACTACTACTGCCAAAAGTGACTTGGAACAATCCTCTTATCATTGACTATACACAGCAATTATATCATTCAGAAATAACTCTTTATGGTTTTAATTTTACTATTCAGAAGTCTCAATTAAATTAAATGTTCATGTGTTCCTGTCGCATTCCTGAGTTTGCTACAAACAGGCATGAGATTCATTATGCAGAACTGAGATCCTGTGCACATTGTCCCACAAAGCCTCACAATCCAGTCTAGCATGTACACAGGCTTGCAGGCTAGTCAGACTACATATGGCTGATGTCACAATGCCAAATGACGTAACAGAATTAATAATTTTACCTGTAAACGTATAATATACACCGTTTCCCTTCTGATCTCTAAATCAAATAAACACATAGATTTTATTAGCAAAAATATATCTAGCGCTGTTAACTTTTTGTACTGGGTTTTTAACCCAAAGCATTACAAAAATCTAGTGATTTACATCCTCCCAGACACTAAGGGGAATTCTGACAAAATCAGAAACTGTAAGAGTAAAACCAAGAAGAGAAACACAGGAAAAAAAACATTCTCTGTGGCTACACAATTTATGGTAAGTTTGGTGAGTGGAAGAGCACGCTCATAATCCATCCGCCTACCGTCAGAACTTCAAGGTGGGACATTGTTTTCACACTTTAGTGCCAGGATGACCTAATAGGTCTTGCCACCCTATCGTATCTTTAATTGTCAATCCAAGTGCACACATATATTCCTAGATGTCTTGTTAGACGTCTGTGACTAATGGAAAGAGGATCTAAGTCTCACCCACCTTCTTTAGCACATGGAAGAGCAATGAAGAGTTAACACAGAAAAGACACGCTGGAAAGAGACTCAGGAAATAGAAGTTACTTCGGAGACACATGCTGGCGAACAAAGATACCCCACAAACTCCTTAAAAGGGTAGAAGCCAAACGAAGGGGAAACCTGCCATTATCTGCAAAAAATAACTGTTCTGCCCTAGATTAAAAATGCCTCGTGGCCAAGAACCCTGATTTCAGATCCAGATTTAGCTCATTATCTGTCCAGGGAACCACGATTCACTGAGCATCCTTCCTTTTAAAGGATCAACTCTCAGTGCCTATTTTTTTTTAAATTTCCTTTGTACGGCACTTAAGGAAAAGCCCTACAAGACGGGCACACAGACCCCTTCCTTCCGTTTCTGTCTGGGAGCAGAGAAGGGGCACTCCCCCACCGCCAGGTCAGTTCCTCGGATGCAACCCGACAGCATTTGCACCCCGCATGGGGCGGCTAGAGGGAACTTTTCTTCAATGAAAGGCCAGGAGCTGCAGCTCCCCTGACACACACGAGCAGATTTGCAGCCCAAGGCGGCGGGGAAAGGTTGGGGGGAGGGAAGAGATGTATTTGCTATTAAGTTAGAAAAACGTAGGGAAGGTGCTTTTCCTCCGCCCTCCCTAGCCCCCTGCGCCTCTCGTGAATAAACCAACTGGCTTTGATTTTTTCCAGCAGCTCCCCCAGCAAACGCACAGCCCCTCGAGCAGAGAGTCTTTGTGTGCAGTGCAAAGCAGAGCGCGCGACCCAGACACCTACCTCGCCCCTCTGGGCGGCTCTGCCCCTGAGCTGCCACAAAGGAACCTTCCTTCCCCCGCTGGCAGCGCCCGCTGCGCTCCGCGCGAGAGGCTCCCACACGCGCTCGTGCCGCTGCTGCTGCTGCTGCCCTCGCTCAGACACAGGCAAGCCCTGGCTCCGGCACGGGGCGGGGGAACAGGCGGGGACTGGTGCTGAGTCACGGCTCCTCCTCCTCGGCACCCCGCCCAGCTGGCGGGGCATGCACCTAGCTCGCGCCTCCTTTGTTGTCGCGCTCCCGGGGAAGGGGGTCTGCGGGGAGAAGTTGGGGGCGGGAGGTCACGCTCTGCTGTGAGCTTCCCAAGGAGGGGGTTAGCGAGCGTTGTGTTTGGGAGGCAGGGAGCAGGAGAAGGTATTAGGACTGGTAGCCTGAGCCCCACACACCCGAGGAGAAGGGTGTGTGCACCTGCCCCACCCCACAGTGCTCCTGTGAGGCTGGGGCTGCCTCGGGGGCCAGAGAGGAGGAGGAGGAGAATTGTGCTGGTGTTAGGCCAGGGGCGGGCTTGTTGCATGGTTAAAGTACTGGACTGGAACTGGGGGATAGGGAATGCTGTCCTGGCTCTGCCACAGACATTCTGTGTGACCTTGGGCAAATCACCTAAGCCTGGGTTAAGCCTCAGAATCAGATTTGACCTAGCCACCTTGCTCAGGCCTAAGAAAAATTTCACCCCTTTGCAAAGAGGTTAGGCCGGAAAATTCCTCCAACAATCTACCTATCCCCCTAGGAAGAGGTGGAATAAGTATAGCAACAGAAAAGTTTTCCCTCCATGTAAGAAGCATCTCCATTACAGTTCTACAGTGGTACTAGTGAAACACCATAGCTGTGCCATTGCAGCATAAACATATCCTTCATCTCTTGGTGTTTCAATTTCTCCACATTTAAAATGGGGATTAATTTTTTTTTCTTCCCATTCTTGTCTATTTAGACAGAGATGGAACTGTTTCTTAATGTGTATTTGTATGGTGCCGTAGCAAAATAGGGCCCAGGTCTCTAGACCAAAAGTCCCCAAAGTATGGGGCACGCCCTTCCAGAGGGACATGGAGAAATTTGGGGAGTGTAGCTGGGACCTGGACCAGTTCTCTTGGGAATCAGGGAGGAAGCATCACCTAGCTCTGCTCTTGACTCCAGCCCCAGCAGCTGGCCCTGGTTCCCAGCTCTCTTACCCATGTCCATGATCTTCCCTTGGAGGCAGGGCCCCCTTCCTAGTCCCGGCTCATGGATGAGGTAAGGAGGGCATGAGGTAAAAAGTCTGAGGACTAATCCTCTAGGCAGTACCATAATAAAAATAAAACAAAAAGAGAAAGGGAGGAAAGTGGGAAAAGAGAAGGCAATGGGAAAAAGGGTTTCCTGTCAATTGTATAAATCCCAGATGTTCCACGCAGGTTGACACATTGTTTAAGAGCTGGGATTGAGGAGTCTTTCCTTGATGTTGTAGTTGTCTCTCTCTTAAAAGAGGAAACAGATCAAACTGCAGTGGACTGAATTTTATGGCAGGAAAAATATGGTTTGCTTTAATTGTAGATATTTTCTGAAGATAGTAAAGCATTAAATCCTTTTTGGTATCTCATTTACTTGGGAAAGTGACTCATTCTTTTCTTTATCCGAAGAGTAATCTCCAACTGTACTTTTGTTTTAATTTTCCTCCCCCCCCCATCTATTTCTTCTCTTTTTTTATCCAAAAATAAAACAAATCTATCCCATCCCCAATTAATATTTCTGCCTATTACTAAAAGTGGATTGAAGCCCCAATCCAAGCAATGGATCCATGGAGACAGACCTAGGCATCCTTGTGGATCCGAGTGTAGCATGAGGGTGTAACTTAGTGGTCACCAATCAGTAGATCGAGACCTACCGGTAGATCTTGGAGCCTTTGACAGGTGATCCTGACTGGTTTGGCCAAGAGGCTGTCAAGTGCCAGCACTTCAGCTGCCCCTCCCCCTTGGGAGCCCCCTGTTTTCTGTGCAGGGCAGGGGAGGCAGAAGAGGAGCCGATGTCAGGCTGCCCCCTCCCACTCTATCCTAGCTCCACAGAGCAGACAGGGGCACAACAGGACTCGGGATGGAGTTTAATGGCTACTTTAGGGAGTGGTGCAGGGCCAGGGCAGGGGTGAGCCTGCCTTAGCCCCACTGCACCACCACCCAGAGGCCACCTGAGGTAAGTAGTGCCCAGCTGGAGCCCACATCTCAAACTCCTACCTCAGTCAGGAACCCCTCCGGCACTCCAAGCCCTTGCCCCACCCTGAGCACCCCTGCATCCAAACACCGTCCCAGAACCTACACCTAGAACCCGCTCTGATACCCCAACTGCCTGCCCCAAGAGCAGCTCAGAGCCCTTCTCACACTCCAGATCCCTTACTCCAAGACAAGAGACGGAGGATGGAGTGAGCCAGGGTGGGGCCTCGGAGAGGAGGAGGGAAGGAGGCGGGGCAAGGGTATTTATATTTGAGGTAGATCTTGGATTGCACTTACATTCAAAAAGTGATCTCGTGCTTAAAAAGGCTGGAGACCACTAGTGTAACTGATAGCATTAGATGGATATGTGGGCTAGCTGAGTTCAATTTCTGACTCTTCAATACACTTCTTGGGTGATCTTAAACAAGTAATTTAATCTCTCTTTGTCATAGTTCCTCCTCTGTAAAACATATATATTAATAATAGTGCATCTGAAATTACAGAATATATAAGATGGAAATCTGTTTCAATATAGGCAGTACACACTGGAAAAGTAAAAGAAAATTTGGAACAACAGCACAGATACTTTGAGAATGCACAAATCATTAATGAACCTTCTTGGATTGTTAATTGCAATACATGTTTTACATCCTTGGATTCACCCAGTCATTCTGTATTTTTATTACTAGGAAACTTTTCTTTAGCAAATAACTTGGATTGCAGTGAAGGACAGTTGCAATAGCAGCAGAATCTTGAATCATACAAATAATGAACATCTCTTTCATGGCACTCAGCCATACCATCTCAGGATCTCATCTCAGCAGCCAAGCAGGGTTAGACAATAAGCAAAACTTAAATATGGGAAACCTTCGAGAAAAAAATCCAACAATTTGTTGAATAAAAGACTTCAGATGTACAGAAGAAGGTGAGGCGCTCTTTTAACTGAGTCATTATCCCAGCATGGTTATGGACATTAGTGTATGGTTGGAATTACTGGGTTTTTTGTTGTTGTAGTTATTTTTGTTTTTTTAGGGTAAGATGTAAAGCTATAGTCCTGACCATATGTGGTTTTTAAGGATTGTTTGGCACTTTCTGTAAGGCTATGTCTTCACTAGGAGAACAGGCTGTGATGCTGGGCAAATCACTGAAAACATTTTTTTTGGGGGGTGACCATAAATTGTGTATTCCTTATTTTCTTGGTGCCTAATTTAGGGCAGCAAAGATCAGATTTGCAGATGTGCTGAATATTCACAGCTACAACTGAATTCAACTGGAGTAGTGCTATGAACAAATAAACAACTGTTTTAAAATACTGAGTCCTCTGAAATATTAGCCCACAGGCATCTGAGATTAGGTACCAAAAATTAGTGGATAATTTTGACAGTTTTGGCCTCAGTCATTCAATGCCTCAGCTCCCCATCTGTAAAAGGAGACTGATAATACCACTTTACCAATGCATTGTGAAGATAAATGTGTAATTGTTTATGGATGGGGGCCAACAGACTTGCTGGGTCCCTGGCAAGGGGGTTGGGGAGTGGGGAGCAGCCTCACACTCTTGGAAGAGGCAAGGCTTCAGGTGGGGCAAGGACAGCCAGGCCAGGGGCATTTTAAGGGCTTCTGGTGGCAATTTAAAGGGCCCAGGGCTCTAGCTGACTCCACTGATGCAGTAGTGGTGGTAGCCAGGCCCTTTCAAATCACTGGGTCCCAGGGCAGTTGCCCCCTTTGTTCCCTTCCCCATTCCCTGTTTCTGGAGCACTCATATGCTACAAAGAGAATATCACAGAAATGTCTCACAGGAAATTAACAATTCTGTTTTAGTGTAAGGATTGAACAGTATGCAGTAAACATGACGTGGGATCATACACTGAATGAGGAGCACTGAATGAAGCAGTTATCCTGTGGAAAAGTAGTATGTGATCATGTAATTAAAGACTCTTGTAGTGCTTATGCATAAGGGTAATAAATTAAGCCTGCTCAGTGAACCCTAACTGTGGCATTTCCAAATGTTTGACTGCTTGATGTGCAACTTTAATGTCCTTTTCATAAAATGTTTGTATATAATTAATAGGTATTTGAGGAGGTATCTGAGCCATTAGCCCTCATCTTTGAAAAATCATGGTAGACAGGAGAGATTCTAGAAGACTGGAAAAGGGCAAATATAGTGCCCATCTATAAATAAAGAAATAAGAACAACCCAGGAAACTACAGACTAGTCAGTTTAACTTCTTTGCCAGGAAAGGTAATGGAGCAAATAATTAAGGAATTCATCTGCAAACATCTGGAAGATAATAAGGTGATAAGTAATAGTCAGCATGGATTTGTCAAGAACAAATCATGTCAGACCAATCTGATAGCTTTCTTTGACAGGATAACAAGTCTTGTGCATATGGGGGAAGCAAATCTAGACTTTATTAAAGCATTTGATACAGTCTCGCATGCACTTCTTTACTAGGGAACTACAACATAGATGGGGCTACTATATGGTGGGTGCATAACTGGTTCAAATAACCATTCTCAGAGAGTAGTTATCGATGATTCACAGTCATGATTGAAGGGCATAACAAATGGGGTTCTTCAGGGATCAGTTTTGGGACTAGTTCTGTTTAATAGCTTCATCAACAATTTAGATAATGGCATAAAGAGTATGCTAATAAATTGTACAGATGTTACCAAGCTGGGAGGGGTTACAAGTGCTTTGGGTCATAATTCAAAATGATCTGGACAAACTGGAGAAATGGTCTGAAATAAATAAGATGAAGTTAAATAAAGACAAATGCAAAGTGCTCCACTTTCACACATACAAAATGGGAAGTCACTGTCTAGGAAGCAGAACTGCAGAAAGGTATCTGGGGGTCATAGTGGACCACAAGCTAAACATGAGTCAATAGTCTGACATCTTTACAAAAACATCCAGTGTCACTCTGGGATGCATTAACAGGAGTGTTGTGAGCAAGACACGAGAAATAATTCTTCCCCTCTACTTTGCGCTGATTAGGCCCAAATAGAATATTGTGTCCAGTTCTGGGCACCACATTTCAAGAAAGATGTGGAGAAGTTGGAGAGGGTCCAGAGAAGACTTTTAATCATTTTTGTTGCTTTAGAATAAGACTGAAAGAACTGGGTTTGTTTAGTTTGGAAAGGAGAAGAGTGAGGGGGGACATGATAGCAGCTTTCAAGTACCTAAAAGGGTGTCACAAGGAGAAGATGTGAAGAAACTGGAGAAGGTCCAGAGAAAAGCAACAAAATGATTAAAGGTCTAGAAAACATGCCCTATGAGGAAGACTGAAATAATTAGGTTTGTTTAGTTTGGAAAAGAGACGACTGAAAGAGGACATGATATCAACTATATCAATACCTAAAAGGGTGTTGTAAGCAGAAGGGAGAAAAAATATTCTCCTTAACCCCTGATAATAGGACAAGAAGAAATGGGCTTAAACTCATCAAAGGAGGTTTAGGTTGGACATTAGGAAAAACGTCTTGGTTGTCAGCATGGTTAAGTACTGGCATAAATTGTCTAGGGAGGTTATGGAATCTCCATCATTGGAGATCTTTAAGAACAGGTTAGAGACTGCATTGTGCTAGACACCTCACAAACACATAGTGGCTGTGTCTACACTGGGCCACTTATTCCGGAAAATCAGCTGCTTTTCCGGAATAAGCTGCGAGCTGTCTACACTGGCCCTTGAATTTCCGGAAAAGCAACGATGCTCTACTGTACAAAATCAGCCGCTATTCTGGAAAAACTATTCTGCTCCCGCTCAGGCATAAGTCCTTATTCCGGAACACTGTTCCGGAAAAGGGCCAGTGTAGACAGCCCAGTAGACTTTTCCGGAAAAAAGCCCCGATCGCGAAAATGGCGATCGCGGCTCTTTTCCGGAAAAGCGCGTCTACATTGGCCACAGACACTTTTCCGGAAAAAGGGCTTTTCCGGAAAAGCAGCCTGCCAATGTAGACGCTCCTTTTCCAGAAAAACTGAAAACGGAATAGTATTCCGTTTTAAGCATTTCCGGAAATTCATGCCAGTGTAGACACAGCCAGTGAGAGACAGTTCCTTCCCTGAATATCTCATGTCTATATTAGGGGTGGGCAAATACCAGCCCATGGATTGGATCCAGTCCACCAGGGTTATTCCCTGGCACGCCCACACCTCCATGTTTACCTGTTCCTCTGCAGGTATTGGGTGAGCTCAGCTCTCATTGGCTATGGATGATCTTTTGCAGCCAATGGGAGTAACAGGAAGTGGTGTTCCAGTTCATGCCGCTTGCTGCTGCTCCCAATGTCTGCAAAAAGTGATCCGCAGACAACGAGAGCTTGTCGTCTCCCGATACCAGTGGAGGCACTGGTAAATGTAGTGGCAGTGGTCCTCCAGGGACTAACCCTGGCAGGCCCCCACTTTCACACACACACACACACACACACACACACACACACACACACACAAAACAGACAAAGGGTGGAAGAGGCATGGAGAGATTAAATGACTTGCGCAAAGTTGCACATCAGCAGTAATCAGAAATGGAAATCTATTGTCCTAACTCCTAGTCCAGTGCCTTTTCCACTAAATTACACTGCCTTATCAAATAATGGGTCTAGTGAACTCTAGACAATACTTGCAAAACTCTTAGGGATCCTTCTGGATAAAAGTTACTATACAAGACATTTTACCAAAAATAGTGTATTGGAATCCCAGCCATGAATGAGCTGGCTGCACTTCAGATCATCTCTCAAACTGAAAGATACACTAGAAATATTTCACAAGATATGCCTTATTTTTTTATTCATATTTATGGCCAAAAGTACACAGTCATTTAATTTATGAACATCATGTAACACAATCATTCGGCATACTTGGTATCTTATGAATAAAATGGTTTCTATTAAGTATCTTTAATTTTCTTATCT